ATAAAAAAAAACATAATTTAAAAACTGCATTTTGTATTTACTTGCATTATCTTTGTGTAATATAAAAATTTGTTTGATGATCTGGATCTTTTAAGTGTGACAAATATGCAAACAATTAAAAAACCAGTAAGGGGGCAAAAACTTTTTCACACCACTGTATATATATATATATATATATATATATATATATATATATACTGTATATATAATTACTTTTTTTTCATGACATTAAGTCACATTTTCACATTTTGAAGTTATATTTATATTTATATTTGAAGTAATATTTCAGCTTAGGAGTTTGTTAAAATCCGTAAACTATGAACAAGCCCCAATAATGCCCGAGATTGTGCCTCCTTTAAAGCTGAAAATGAATGATCCTTTATTGTACAACAGGATCATGTTTGCTAGTTAAACCGCCTGCAAGAGAAGTTTAGCTAAACTGCAGTTCCCCTATCAGGCGAATGAAAAGCCAGCCTTACCTATTTTGAGCGGAGCATCTGGCGCTGAGGTGGCGTACAGCAGGTTCTCAGGTTTCAGGTCTCTGTGCACTACACCATTCTCATGCAGGTACTGCAAACAGACATGTAGACACAGGGGGTTGCCTCTTATTAATCTGAGGTGTACACAGATACGTGTGACTGTACATTGTGGTACTAATTAACATGTGTTGCTTTCACCATTATGTGTGTAATAATATTTATAGTTTTTAAATTCATATGGGAATCTCCTCTGTGGTTGGTAAATTAGTCTGGGCCTGGCTGATAATGAGCAAAATTAAAGTAATGACCATGCTGTTCTGAATATATTTCATAGGCTGTTTTTGTTTTACAATGCTGACAAGGCAGCACTGTATGTCAGGGTTCTATCACCTCAGTCTACTTTATTCTTGGTTTTGTGACAGAGCCCTGACACTCCTGTATTGTCCTTGTGTGAGCGTGCGGTCTTGACTGTCCTCGGGCCGTGCACTCTCTTTTCTGCATGCCTTGTTTCATGTTCGGAGCGTGGTGTTTGCATTCTGCCACTTATGTCTAGTTCGGTTTCGGTCTGGTGTCAGGGTTTGAGCAATGCTCCATGTCTTGTTTCTTGTGTGAGCGCACGGTTTGTGTGTTCATTCACTCGCCATGCGCTCTCATCTCGTGTGTTTTGTGAGCGCTTGGCTTATGTTTTCATTGGTCACGTGCTCGTGACGTTGTTTTCTGTTTAGTGCACGGTTCGTGTTTACATCGGCCACGTGCTTTTATGTTATGTTCTGTCTTGTGTTGTGTAGCTCGGGTTTTCTTCAGTCGTGTGCTTTCATGTTGTCATGGGTTAGGGTTAGGGTTATGCGTGTTCATGTCTTGTTTTGTGTGAGAACGTGGCTTTTGTTTTGTTTGTTTCTGTGTGCCATGTGCTCTCCTGTCTGTTCTTAATTAATGGTTCATTTGCCCCTCCTGTCCTCCCTCGTTACCTGCCTTGTTTGTTCCCTATTTATTCTCCTTGTGTTTGCAGTCCTGTGCCAGTTCGTTGCCAGTGCTATTGTGTACCTTGCCTGTTCCTGCCCTGCCCTGCCCTGCCCAGCCAAGCTGCCGGTAGTGTTTATTTTTTCCCTCCACGGGGTAGTTTTTGTTTTATTTTTGCTAATAAAGTGCCCAAACTTCCTGCAATTGAGTCCTCGCCTCATCCCTTCACCCAAACTTGACACTGAATTGATATTCCTCAAACATTATATGTTTCTTTGATGTGTGTATTGTATTTGTCCTGTCTTTGTTGTATTTATAATTTTTTATTTTTGAGCTCAGGAAAAAAAATACATTATATAATACATTATACACATAATGATATTTCCCCCCATTTTATATTCTTATTATCCAATGAAAGGTTAGATGTTTGTGATTTTTTTTAAATAAAAGATCAAAAGGATTAACAATGTAGATTAATTTTCACAGCCTTCTTTGATCATATTTACCAAGGGTGCCGATATTTTTGGCCATGACTGTATATATAATTATTATTACCACAAGTACTTAAAAATATGTTACAATGATGTTACAACCACTATGAGTGTTTTAACACTTATTCATTATTCTATACATCTGTCCTCTTTGTCATGGTTTTTTATGACAACTTGAAAAAAAATATTTAAAATATGTTTACTTCTGTTACGGAAGGAAGGATACAAGAAGGCAGGGTCGGATCCAAGTGCAGCTTTAATGTCACAGCGAAGTCAAACAACGGCAGTAGGTCAAAACACAGGAACAGACAGATTAGACTCAGGCTCAGGAATCGCTAGGCACGGAGCAGTAGCGAACAGACAGACAATCATCAACATAATCAATACTTCGCCGTGAGTGTGTGTGTGAGAGTAACCTTTATAGTGCTCCGGATAGACAACAGGTGTGTGTGTGTAGTTAGTTCCAGGTGCGGGGCTTGTGGGAAACATAGTCCATAGTGAGAGCTGACTGATATCGCCTAAGAGCGGCTTCCAGACGCTCAAACCAGAATTTCCAATTCATAGTCCACGGTGGATTCGATGGTGGGAGGAGCCATGATGGAGAGACTAGAGTTCCGACCGACGGAGACGGAACCGAGGGAAGGGGAGCCCAAGGCGGAGGTGGAGCGCCGTATAGCTGGGGTGACACTGAGTGTTCGGAGGGCTGTGATGGAGCCGACGGCTCTGGCGACCGAGGTGCAGACGGGGATCCGGAAGGCCACGGTGGAGTTGGAGCGACCGAGGACCAAGGCGGAACCGGAGGGAGAGAGGAGCCCAACGGAGCCAGAGAGACAGAGGGATGAGGCAAAGCCGGAGGAGTGTAGTCCTAAGGCGAGGGCGGGTCGACGAACGACCAAGGCGGAGCTGACGGGACAAGGAAGCCCGGCGGAGCTGGTGGACTGACGGACCACGGTGGAGACAAGGGAGCTTTGAGCCAAGGTGACATCAACTGATCGAAGGACCTTAGTAGAGTCCAGGCCTCGAAGGCTGAAACCAGAGATCTGGAATCCTCCAACTCTGGTGCGGCTGGAGGCTGAACGTCCCAAGGCAAATCCTGACGCTAACCACCCCTGCCGGATGACCTAAGGGACAGACAGAGAACAGCGGAGACAGGACAAAGAGCATGACTGGCAGAGGAGGAGGGAGAGGGAGGTTGGGTGGGACAAAAGGGAACACAGCTTCATAATTAGTCTTTTTATCCACAAATAAACAGGCGAAAAGTTTATACTCGGCCTCCTTAGCCATGACAGGACAGGCAAAGAGCTCACAAACGGCCTCTGTAGCCATGACAGGACAGGAAGTGAGTTCACAAGCAGCCTCCATAGCCGTGACAGGACGGTCAGTGAGCTCACAAACAACCTCCGTAGTCGTGACAGGACGGGCAGACAGATCAAAATCAGAGTTATCGGTAGAATTCAGCCAAGCAGACAGTTCAGGAATAGGACTCACCACCGTGAGGGGAGCTGGAGCATATGCCATTTCCCTGAGAGGTTCTGCAGCAATGGCCCCCACCTCTGGAAGGTCCATAGCGGGTGTCGCCTCCTCGGCTTCTCCTACAGTGGGCGCCGCCGCTGAGCTTAGAGGGGCTACCAGCGCTGAGAACACGGACACACCAGCCGCTCGCACCGATCTCAGCAGGGGATCCTCCACACTGGAGACCAACCTCGGGCGTTTTGTGGTCAATTCAAGGGGAACAGCCATGGACGGACACGGCTCTGGTTCCTTAGCTGTGACGGGATGAATCTCTGCAAGGGAGCATTACAGGAACGGGATCGGCCTCACCCACAGTGAATGAAGATCCAGACACCAGAAGCGCATAATCCATAAATTGGGCCAGTGATCCACGAGGACCATCCCGGACAAGGGGAGCTTTTAGTGGCTCATTTAGTCCATGAGCAAAAAAGTCAATCAGCATAAAATCCGGCAGGTCTGCATAGTGTGCAATGTCTATAAAGGTCTGGATATGGTCCTCGAGGGTTTGTGCTCCCTGTCATAGATGGACCAGTTCTTTTGCCAACTCCATCCTCAATCGGAGCGGCCAGACACGGCTGCTGGATCCTCGCTGGTTCTGTTAGGATACGAGAAGGCAGGGTCGGATCCAAGTGCAGCTTTAATGTCACAGTGAAGTCAAACAAAGTCAGAAGGTCAAAACACAGGAACAGACAGATTAGACTCAGGCTCAGGAATCGCTAGGCACGGAGCAGAAGTGAACAGACAGACAATCATCAACATAATCAATAATTCGCCGTGAGTGTGTGTGTGAGAGCAACCTTTAGTGCTCCGGATAGACAACAGGTGTGTGTGTGTAATTAGTTCCAGGTGCGGGGTTTGTGGGAAATGTAGTCCATAGTGAGAGCTGACTGATATCGTGACAACTTCAATGATTTATGCATTAAAGGTTTACGATTAAAGTTTGATCATCTTAAAATATTAAAAGTTTCACCATTTACAGTCGTGATGACACCTATATTATGTAACATGACATTTGTTTTCTTTCTTGTAAACTGTAAAAAATTACTTTTGAAGGTACAAAAAAAAAGATTATTGTACGTTTGTACGTTTTACAAGACAATACAGTTTTTACAAGACATATGCGATGTTCTTCATTTCATGTTTAATTTGATGTGTAACTTGTGTGGCACAAAAGCCATGTTATATGTTGGTTCTCATGCACAGCTGATAAAAAAAAAATTTCCTCAATCTTAAATGCTATTTTTTGCTGCCCTGCTATTTACTTCTGAAACATGAATTAAATTTACTTGTTAAAATCTCTAAAAGTTACAAATGTCAAGGTATAATAGGGAGCACTCCAACAAAACAATATCTGACACAAAACAACACAATTCTCTTATCAAACAGAAAAAATGCAATGTTACTGCTTAAAGGGATAGTTCACACAAAAATTAAATTTCTGTCATCATTTACTCACCCTCATGTTGTTCCATACCTGTATAAATGAAGTCAGTCAGTGGGACCGGCAACTGTTTGGTTACCCACATTCTTTAAAATACAGAAGAAAGAAACTCATACAGGTTTTGAACAACATGAGGGTGAGTAAATGATGACAGAATTTAAATTTTTGTGTGGACTATCCTTTTCAGCATCGTTTAAAGGTGGGGTAAGCGATTTTTCAAAAACGCTTTAGAAAACTGATTCGGGCCGACTAGCAAAACAAAGTTCATCAGCAGTAAGGGGCGTGACTACTCATGATGTGGAGGAGAGAGCGTTCAGTCCGAGCCGAGCAACAGAAAGATAGAGATGGTAGATAAAAAACAAAAGAGAAAAAACGTCTGCAGAACAAAAGAAGGCTTAAGGCAATATGGCAAGAAGTAGGACCCGTGTAAATATCGGATCAGCTTTCCAGCGCTGGAGTGTCACAGTGTCTGGTTGTGGTGCCCTGGACTGGCCACTTGAGGGCGCTCTTCCTGTTTATGTGTTTCATGTTTTGAACTCAGTTTCCCATAGTCCTTTGCTTTGTCGTTTTGTTCTGATCGTTATCACCTGTTGGCAATTTACTCATCATTTCATCACTACTTATAGCATGCTCTCACTGTCTGTCTTGGCTGCACTATTGTTTGAGTTACGTCGTGTTTTCTGTTCC